CTTGTCAGGTCTTTTGGTCAAAGCAGCAGAAAAGTTTACTAAAACAGGTAGTGGTGGATATCTTAATAGATTTTATGAGAATCATTACACAATGTATATCAAACCATTCCACTGTATACCTTGAATATATGCAAACTTTGTCAATTATATATTTTAAAAGAAAAAAATGAGAAAAATCATTCTGTATTATGTCACTGATATTCCATGATAACTTTCCAATCCAGTTTATTAAGATCCTGAACTAATCAGGACATATAAAGTGTTGTTTAGATACATTACTATGAATGGTTTAATTTTTTGTTGTTAATTCTGAGTCTTTATTCATTAAATTGCTAAAAATATGGTATTAGGGAAAACTGCTACATTTCCTGTACTTGAAAAGAATTAGTCATGCTAGTTAAAACTAATGCAAACAGTAAATTTAAAAATCAGGAACATCTCAATGTAGACAATGCATTGAAGTCCAATATGGACCTTAAAAGTTTTGTGTACCTATCAAGAAGTATAAATGAAAGAATCATAATAAAGAAGGTGGAATAGGAAAATAACCAAGTAATGTCAATCCAGTGTCCAGTCCCTAAGCAGAAAATGTACCGAAACTATTGAATTATGACAATTTAGACAGGATCAATAGTTCTCAACCAGGTAAGCCTCAGATTCTGATGTGTTTTTCAGAAATAGTCCACTCTACGYCCTACTTCCTGAGTTTTTTTGTTTTTGTTCTTTGATACTGAAGGTTGAACCAGAGGGGCTTTACCACTGAGCCATATTTCCAGACTCTTTCTTTTTTTTTGGGGGGGGGGGGAACAGAGTCTTACTAAGTTGCCTAGGACCTAAATTACTGAGTCTGGCCTCCAAYTTGCAACCTTCCTGCTTAGCTTCTGGAGTTGCTGGGATTACAGCACACATAGGCGTGTGCCACCACATCTGGCTTTCCCTGAGATTTTAAAACAGTAGGACTGGGATAGAGTTTGTGCCTCTATATTTCTTTTTTGTTGGTACTGGGGATTGAACCCAGGGCACTTAACCATTGAGCTACATCCCTGGCCTTCTTTTAGATTTTTAATTTTGAGACAGGTTCTCACTAAATTACTTGGGCCTTGCTAAATTGCTGTCAAACTAGCATCAAATTTACCATTCTCCTGCCTCAGCCTCCTGAGTTTCTGGAATTACAAGCCTGTGCCCATGTGCCTGGCTATATTTGTTTTAAAAGCTTTCTTAGGAAGTTCTGGTGATCACTGAGTGAAAACCACTCGGATAGGATAGACATTATAGATTGGATTGGGAAGAGAAAGTTCCAAAGAGAAAGGAGACTTGAGCTGTGTCTTACCAAGTGGGAAGGCTTTAAATGGGCAAACAGGAAAAGATAAGTATTTATCATTCCAGTTGCTGGGGGAAGATGCAAAAACTGAGATACATGAATGGGCAAGGTAGCATTGGGGAGAAAGTAAGTAAGCTCTTCTGCAAATATGAACAAATAAAACTGTCAGTTTCCACAGCATGTGGTACCTAGAAGGTAATTGCTAACTTTAAAAAATACAATTTGGTAGAGGATTCAATCCAGATTTGGGGGGTTATGAAAGGAATGATGGTAAATCAAGGCAGTGAGTATTTAGATTACTAGCTATTGTTTTTCTCCTCCAAAACTCCTGTTGAAAATTAATTGCCACTGTAACAGTATTAAGAAGTAGGAACTTAAAGTGATTAGGTCATGAGTGCAACCCTAATGAATGGATTAATGCCATTTTGGTGGGAGTGGGTTAGTTATGGTAGGAGGGAGTTCCTGATAAAAGGGACGGGCTAGGCCTAATTTTCTTCCACTGTATCTAGTACATGCTCTCTTACCCTACTGTTATTGTTATGATGTAGCACCCAAGTCCTTGCCAGATGCTGGCACCATGCTCTTGGATTTTTTGGCCTCCAAAAAGTATAAGAAAAATTTTTTCCTAATTTATAAGGAATTTATAAAAATACCCAGTCTCAGGTATTTTGTTTAACAACACAAATGGACTAAGACAGCACTCATTTGAGAATTTGGCAGCAGAAGAAAAGTAAAAATAGAATGGAATTTAAATAGAAAGAGGATGATCAAGAGAAGATTGTTTTTCCTTTTTGAAAAAAGGAGCCTGAATGTTTATATATGGTGGAGAGGAATCCAATGGAAAAGAGGAAATATTTCAGAGGGTAAAATTTGGATTTGTATCTTACATGTTTTAATATATTTAAGGACTGAAATAAATTACAGTGGGATTATACCACTTTAATTGGAATTAAGATCTGAGTAAATGCAATGGGAACTAGAATCAACAATTCTAAAAATAAATAAATAAATCCAGGAAAGCATGTGGACAACAAAAAGTTTCTAATCCTACCTCTTTTTTTTTTTTTTTACACTTGATTCCACATCCATAAACTTTGTAAAAGTAATTCTGAATAGATTATGAGTGGAAAAAAAGAAATGAAAAAATTTAAGTTACTTGATGTATAGATAAATATGTACAATCTGGGCCTAGAAGTGGAGCTAAGTTGTGCGTCTGTCCTTTCACAAAGAAGTTGGTTCTAGTTAAGTGCCATTTTCAGCCTTAAACTTCATTCACTAGCTAAACAAACTTTTCCTTGCAATTATCCCTTAAAGCATATGCACTAATAATCCCACAGCAGAGAATCTTCTAGAAATTTAGGCATAAGGAAAATGGCATGGTTGTATTATAATAACTATGATTTTTTGAAATGGTGTGTTAACTCAKAATTAATAGGTCAATGGTAGCCACTCTTAATAGGATATGACCTGATAGAAATGATCTTTAAGCAAGATGGCCAAAGTGGGCAAAGAATACAGACCTATCTGTAAAACTCTTGTTATTTTCTTAATGTGAGGTGGTGAGGGACAAAGCCAAAATGATAATGTATACCTAATTTTCTATTACTAGATGTAGAATCCTAATGGACGACTTGAGCATTATGGTAGAGTGATGGGGTTTCTTTCTCTTTTAAAGGATGGTGATACTTTGTTTTCTTAGGCATAAAAGCGTCATCAAACATCAAAGCATTATCACATTTTATTTCATTAGTTCTCACAGAAAGTTTGTGATTGAGAAAAAAAGGAAGTTATTATTCTAGGTTGATCAAATAGATAATTGAGATACCAAGCAGGTAAAGAAGTAAATTCATTGAACAAATGTCTGAGTGCCTTCTCTATAATCCTAATTAGACCAGGACTTCTTAGTAGTAGTATATCTTAGTAATTACTTGCTAGTAGTTTTTAGTTCAGAAGCTTAGTAACAATAGTTAGGTTCCAGTTGGGGTTATATTTCTTGGTAATGCCTGAGTCAAAATTAAAATCCTTAATCCAGAATGGTGATGGAAACAGCCACATTGCATATTTTATGGCTACTCTTCAGAAGGCCACTTGCATACATAACCCATAATGCAAGTATTGCTAAATATATATAAAAAACATAAAGCCTTTTGGGTATGACTTATAAAGGAAAGGTTTTTGTCTCATACATTTTTATGGAGCAAGATGATGTACATATTTTAAAAATACCTTTGAATATGGATTAAAGATTAAGGCTTCTTAATTATATAAACCACAGGGTGCAATGTATGTGTCAGCAACCATTATAAAACAATATTTTATGAAGCAATTTAAAATTTAGGAGCTATATAGCTTTATTTTTTTGCATTCTTTAAAGAATACGCAAGCAAATAAATGTTTTATACCTCAGTTACAGAGACATTATAAAATTAATGCTACTAGACAGCAGCTCAAAGAGTTCAGATAAAATGCTTCAGATTATAGAAAGAAAACACAAAACAAGGAAACCCTTATTTGGTCAAATCTTATTTTGAAACAGAGGGCCTGAAGTGTGATGTCATTTCTGGAAGAGAAAAGCAGGTTTTTTTTCGACATTGCCTATCCAGTTTTGTTTTGTTTTGTTCATAGAAATTATGTCTACTTTAGTATAGGTTTAAAAGGCTGTTTTTGACAAACAGACCTTCAGTATATTCAATTTACATAAGTGTTTCAATTTTCGAAGCATCTACTTGAGTTATTTATATTAGGTCGGAAACTTTAGGCAAACTCATGTGCACATATGTACTTACACACACATACCCAGTTTCCAATTCCTGAATTTTAAAACTGTTTTTAATCAGTACAAGAAGATTAACAATGATTATGGAAAGTAGGTAATGAAAAAAGTAACTTCCTCCAGAACAAGTCCCAATACAGTTTTCATGGTCCCTGTCTACAGGGCCTTCCTGCTCAGAGAGGATGGAGTCTTGCTCACCTCACTGTGATGTAGTCAGACTAGTCTAGAGACTGCAGAAAAGGYACATTCTTAGTCATTCTGTCTGTACCCTTTCCTTGAGTCACAGTTACTAGGGTTACAGGCAGGGCAAATAAGTCTTAACCTCTGTAGCAGAAACAGCACAGCGCATCCGATGGACCACAGCCACAACAGTTAAGGACACCCAATGCAGGACTTCTGAGCCACTAGGCACGACCACAGCGAATCAGGTCTTCATTCCGACTTAGGTGGGTGACACCCCTTCTCCATAACCATATGGGAAATCTGAATCAAGTGTGCCTCGGGAGAGCAACTTGGGCCAGTAACCTATAAATGGCAAGCGGGGTGACACCTGCAGATGAAACACCTAAGTACTATCACTGGCGGGTCCCTAAATTCACTCCTCAGCCCCGCACTGCACTCCTAAAGCCCCGAAACCACTAGGCCCCCAATCCATTGCGGCGACAGCGCCAGAAAGCACGGCGCGCCGCTTCCCGCGTGTTCTAGGCCGCGCGGTGAAATCAAACTCGACGCCAGCTCCTAGTGGGCTGGGCCGCGCGCGCTACGTTCCCGGGGCCTGCCAAGCTGCGGCTGCAGCCCGCCGGCTGCGGAGCTGGGCGGGGCCACCTCCAGGCCGATCACGAAGGGGAGCTGAGGAGGAAGAGACGCTGGCTGTGCGTTTGCGCAGGCGCGCCGCGCCCCGCCTCCCCAGCGTCGACTGCCGGGCGGGCGGCGCGRGCCCTCCCACTCTTCGCCGCGCCGCCTCACGGCCCCGGCCCTCGCTTCACCCCGACGCCCCTGCGTGCGCCTCCTGCCGCCGGCCTGCAGGCCCGGGGCCTCCGCCTGCTTCCCCGCCGCTGCTCCTCGCGGCGCTGCTCGCGTTCACGCTGTCGCCCGGCCCGGCGCGGCCGCGGGCAACCGCTCCCCCTCCCGCACCTACCCCGCCCCCTCCCCGCCTTTTCCGCCCTCCAGTCCCCCTCCCTCGGCCCGCTGCCGCTGCTCCAGATGAGGTGATGGCAACGGCCAACTTCGGCAAGATCCAAATCGGGATTTACGTGGAGATCAAGCGGAGCGATGGTGAGCCGCGCCGCTGGCCCCGCCGACCCGGCCCCACGTTCGGCTGTGCGCGAAGGGGACGCAGGCGCCGGCCGCCTCATTGATTGCTCCGCAGGGCTGTGGGGGCGGGAAGGCGGTGGCCGCGGCGCTTTTGTGTGTGGCGAGTGTGCGGGTGAGGCCGGTGCGGGGTCCGCCCGGGCGCCGATGCAGTGCAGGGGGCCGGACCGCTGGGGAAGGCCGCCTTGGTGGGTCCCGAGCAGGGTCTCCTGCGCCTCCGGGTCTCCATCCTCCTCGGGGACAGCAGCCCGGCCCAGAGCGGGCATCGTTAGGGATGACCCTGCCTCGAGCTCATCCCGGTTGTTCGGTTTTACCGGCCTCTTAGCTGCCGGGGTGGGGGTGGGGAGCGTGAAGACCCGTGATTTCAGTATTTAGGGAACCGACTACTGGTCAGAGGCTGAGGTGGGGGAGCAAGACCGTACCAGAAGCTGCTGTCTGGTTGTGGGCCTCCTCGGCTTTCGTTCCCAAGTATGCTTCTGTTTGCTTGTCCCCTCCTTAGAAAAAGGATGTAGAGAATGTCGCGCTCAGCCATGCATAGGGGTGGGGAGCAGTAGGAAGAAATATTCGATAAGCTTCTCCAAGGTGATGGTACAGAAAGGGAGGGAGAGGGGATGGACATAGTCAACTCGTGGCACTACGGAGAAGGTGGGGATGGGCGACCGGATGTTGATATTTTCACACCCTCGGGAGAGGTGACTGAGAAAAGTGTGAAACGAGGTGAAGACACACGCTTAGTTTTTTTTTTTTTTTTTTTTTTTTTTTTTTTTAAGCGCCTTAGGCTTACGTATGTTTCTGTAGGTTCCTCTTGGGGAAGGTATTTTATGTCACTAGCTTGGGGTGTGGAATGTGATACATCAGCCACACTTGGAAATCATTTATATTATGGAGGAGAAAATACAGAGGGAAATAGGGAGAATTATTTTCTTTCAATACAAATATTGAGAGAACTAGATATGTATAATATCCAGCATTATGAGGTGTTCTTGACTCCATGTTTATTATAATCATTCTTTTTATTTTTTAGTCATTCATTATTCTTTAGCATAGTCAGTAACCTATCACTTCCACACAGTCTTTTGGTTTCTACCAAGTTTGACCAAGTTATGTGAAGCTATATTGAGATATGTTGGTAGATACTATATAGTTAGTGATTTTTTTTCTCTTCATTGTATTTGAGGTAATTTGTGGTTAAGAACTTCATATGCATCATTATCCTGCATATGAAGAAATTATACCACTTAGAGCTTCAGAAGTTACCAGTAACACTACTGGGAAAGAGATGTCTTTACTTGGAGTGGGATTTCTTTTATATTTTTGTCTCAACATTACTTTCTTGAAAGAGTCCTGTTATATAATTTCATTTGATTTGGGTTCATGTATACCACTGGAAGTGGAATTTACATATTATTTTTAAAACTTGGGGTGCAATAAAATGTTAAGTTCTTTACAATGTTTTAAGCCTCTCTGATCATAGGTGCTATGAAAATAGTGTATGACATTCAAGAGATATCTGTTTTTCTCTGAGCTAACATCTTTTTTAAATGTATTGGATTTGAAGCAATTTTGGTTGTTTGGAGGATATAGGCTTCTAATATTCTTTCAGCCTTTACCTTTAACCCATACCAGAAATTCCCAGACACATATTCTTACTTTAGTGCTGGTAATCTACACATTTCAAAAGTAGTTTCTTGTAAAAAATAATGGAAATCATTACAATATATATATTATTCTTAACCTATTGGTGTACATAATTAAGTGCCTTGGGTGCATGATGGAATTGATGGAATGCAAAATATTGGTAGAGAACTTTTAAAGAAGGGAATATTAGAGAACTTTTAAAGAAGGGAATATTATTTGCGTTAAATGATAGAGTTTCACAGTGGTAATTGGCTGTCTGGGACACTTCTTGAAGCTTCCCCTTTTTCACTTTAGAGAAACTGTTTTGCTTCCTGCTACTTTTGTAACAGATCTGTATTGGATAAAATGCAAGTGGTTATTATAACAAAAGTAAACTTTGCAGCTGGATGAATATTAGAGTAATGTCTGAGACAGCGGAAATCAGAGGAGTGAAGAGCTGCTTTAGACTGCCATTAACTGGTGACTTGATGTTTTTCTTCATGTATACTAATGGTGATCCTTGTCACTGTTTCAGGACCAGACTTTTCCCATCAGTGATACTTATATATTAATACATTCCAAAGACAAAAGAGTAAATTGAAATGGGCTTATTCCTATTTTTGAGGCCTTGTGAAAATACTAATCTCAGTAAGTCTTTACTGATTATTAAAACCAGATGACTGGTCAACTGAGTTTCTCAGTCACCCTTTATCATTCATGATATAGCTTAATTCCTTTAAATATTACTATTTTGAGTACATAATTCAATATGTATGATGTTTTTAATTTTTTTAAATTTATTTATTTTTTAGTTGTAGTTGAACACAATATCTTTATTTTATTTATTCATTGTGGTACAGAGGATTGAACCCAGGGCTTTGCACTTGCTAAGTGAGTGCTCTACCACTGAGCCACAACCTCAGCCCAATATGATGTTTTTAAACTGCAGTAAGGAGAAGGTGTGGTGTAGAGAATGCTATGGAGGGATGTCAGGCTACCCACACCCATTTCAACCAGAGCCAGGATGTTGCAGCATTAAAATACTTAACTAATAGACTCTTAAAGTCAATTCATCTGTGTGTCATCCCTCCCTTCCCTGAAATGTGCCTAACATAGCAGAGTTGAGTGAATTGTTCATTACTGGATTTTAAAACATATTTTAATTATTCAGATGAAATCTTCCCAGGAAGTGAAACCCTTATATTTATCATTCTGTACAGTCACCTCTTACTGTGCCCTGCTCCCTCCTTGATGACCTCTCAGTTCAGGATCCCCAGAGTTGATTGAAATGGAGTGATCTGCTAAGACCAGTAGTCTTTTTCTGATACTGTAAGGTTAGAAGTGGCAGGAGTTTGGCTTGGACTCCTGATATTGTTTCCAGACACAGGTGATAACCTAGTATGAAATTGGACTGGCTTTTGGAAATGGACACTCAAGTATTTTTCTTGCATGTGTCTTGCTATTATCTGTCTCATTCAGGTCCTTCTTTAAGATCCCAGTAACTCTAAAAAGTACAGTCTTACAGTTGTATACCTAGTTAGTCATTGGGATTTTTTTTTTTTTTTTAAGCTTCACTGTTAAAACATCAGTTCTACAGTAGCTGTGACTACCTTTTAAGAACTGGAAGAGGGATGAGAAAAGTTGAATTATTTGTAGATTGCAGTTAAGATGACATTATTCTTTGGGGTCTCTTAGTCACAGTATTGATATATGTGATCTTACGGGAATCTTAGGATTCTTTAGCCAGAATAATCCTTGGAGATTATCTAGTTCTAGTTTTTGTAAATATGGAAACTGAGTTCCAAGTCACCATAAGGGATTTGTCTAGATTCATACAACTTGTCAGTGGCAATTGGGAACCTATCTTGCATAGTATAGAATGCAAGCTATCAAGAACTGACAGTAAAGGAAGAATTCTGTTACTAATCATATATAATCTTATCAAAGTGGAAAATTGCTTCTCACTCATGGAAAGGCACCAGGGACCACTGTAATGGTCCTTGATATAGTGTAGTTACTAGAATGTCACAAAAACCTAAAATTTGGGAGAAAAATATTTTTGTCTCAATGAAATGTTGGAAAAGTTCCTTAATTAAAACATCTGGAATCCAGAGGAAATTGAAGATTTCAAAGGACCCATTGGGGATTTTATAGTTTAGAGCAAGAATCTTGAGAGAAAACATTAAGTGTACTAATTCTCAACATGCTTTTCCACATCATTCTGCCAGCTCATCTTGACATGTCATTTTATAGGCTTCTGAAGAATAGACTCCGAATTTAGGTAATAAAAATTAACCACATAGCAGTACAGTTGTCTTTTAGTTATAATTTTGTGGCTCATATGGGGGTAGAATAGGATAGGGAAATTTGTGGAGTAATAATTCCCTTTTGCCTGATAATGAGGGTGATAAGTGATTCTAGATATGTATTTGTTGGGCATAGTTTTTCAGGTGCTTCCAGATATGTGATCTGATTGTATCAACACAGAAATCCTAGGAAGTAAGCCAGTAGGAGGGTAGTGGATTCATTGTTTTACAGGTGCAGAATATGAGGTTATATTATTTGCTAAGATCAAATTGGTTCATAAGGGATGTAGTCAAAACCTAAATCTATTCAATTCTACCTCTTTTAAGGACTGGTGAATATTTGCTGATGATATTATGAAGTGATAAATACTAAAATGTTAATTTTCTTTTTGAGACATATAACCTCCTGTARTAGAATTCTTTCCACTATTACCAGACAGGCTCAGACAACTACCAATTTATAATAGTTTAAGTTTACCAAATTGATGAAATCAATTTCACATTCGGCAGTCTAAGGCTTTAAAACCCTTTTCAATAGGCCCTGACTTTTTGCTTGTTTGAAGTGCCTCAGAAAACCAGAATCTATATTCATTGTGTAGCCACTTGATTCTTATGACAGATTTCTAGGGAAAGGGCATGTATCAATTTGTTCTTTATGTGGTAATTAAAAAGAAAAAAAGAAAGGATAAAAGCTAGGGAAAAGAGGAAAGAGCCAGTGAAGCCTGTGTATGCTTATATAGAGAAAGGGTGTGAGTGTGAAAGATTCAGAACAGTGGGGGATCCAGACTCTTTTTAGTCCCAAGTATACATGACATTAACATTACATTAATCTTTTGCAAAGTTTAATTCTTGGTTTTAGGCACCTGCTTTTGATTTTGCAACCTCTATTTATAACTTAAAATAATCTTTAAGGTAGTTTATTTATTTTGAGATCATCATCATTAAACTTAAAAATAGATCATAATTCTTAGCTGAAAACCCTGGATAAAACTTTTTATTCTTCTGTTTTACTTGGGGAGCAAATGCAGGTTTGGTTGTCCT